TAGGTAGGTGGAGTTAGTTAGGTAGGTACGCGTACTTAGTTATTATTTAGTTAGTACTACGACTACTATACTAACTACCTACTACTATATATATATATATATATATATATATATATATATTAACCTCCCCCTAAAATTGTTGGCTTCTATATTACATTTGAACAGCTCATGCCAGCCTTGGTCCTTCAAAAATCATATCCCAAACCAGGAAACCACATGGAAAAAATGTGAAATACAATGAGAGGAAATGGATGATACAATTACTACACAAGTATGAGAGTAAAAAGAAAGAACATCAAGTTTGACAAACATCATCTAAAGAGTAAACAGGGATCTGCCAGTTGCGGGTATTCTTCTTGGGATCATCGGTGAGGCTGAGGCCGTTATCGTCCTCCCCGAAGGTTCTGATAAATGTTTTGGCACCCATAAGTATCAGCCTCTCCACCATGAACAACTCGTAATTGTTCGCAACCACCTGGTCCAATAGGCTGCTAAAATTCGAAGAATATGCCAGTTTATACCTTCAAAACCCATGCCATAGGCAAATGTTAAACCTCAAGTTGACCTTCAAAACACATGCAATAGGCAAATGTTAAACCACAAGTTGACCTTCAAACACATGCAATAGGTAAATGTTAAACCTCAAGTTGATAACAAGCAAAAGATGCACACAAACATGCACCAGCCACCACACGTAAATGCACAAGAGAATGAGAGAGAGAGAGAGAGGTTTACAGAGACGGCATACATGAGAGAGAGAGCGCAGTTGGGTGGGGTGAGACCACACAATGGCGGTAGAAGTATAAGTGGAAGCCAAGAAAGAGAAAAGCTTCTCTTAATTTTGTTCTCAACAGGTGCTTGCCGAGGTTTTCTCAATAATTAAAAGTAAAATAACAGAAGTACAGAATCCATATTTTTTCGAGATTAGAAACAGAACTGATATTTCTTCAATTTTTTGAAAACCCACTATTTTTTTAGGTTTCTTCCAGCCGTCATTTACAGATAATCTTGAAGATTTCACTTTCAAAATCTAAGAAAATTTCACAAGTTCTCAGAACTCATCTATCAAAGAAAAATAATAAAAATAAATGAATAAAATTCTCCAAAACTCAGTCATAAGAGGTTCTTTTTTTTGTTGGAGAGAGTAAATGACAGGTTCACAATTATTACAGAGGACAAGTTTATATGAGGTTGCAACCTTAAAATGTTGAATTAAGGTGCACCTCAAAAATCCATCATAAAAAGGTGATTTGATGTTGGAAAACCCTCTAATCGATCATCTCAATATCCAGATGTATGAATATGAAAAGACAAAGATTTCGAGTCCCAAAAATAGTATATCTTGTAACACATAATCTGGACCGTCGATTTTCAAGATTTTTATGTGTTTATAAATCTACTTGATTTGAACCATTTTTGGAGTTTAAAATTTTATAATTAGAGATCAACATAGATCCTCACACCATCCTAAGAATTTTTTACACTAAAATTACATTTATGATGAAATTTGGAGGCACGCCTTAATTTGATTGTTTAAGGTTGCAACCTTATGCAAACCACACCCTATAACAAAACCAGAGACTATTTTAGATATAACAAAACCAGAGACTATTTTAGATATAACAAAACCAGAGACTATTTTAGATAAAGGAAGGTACCTCATAGAGAGAGGAGAGAAGAAACTGGGGGTCCTTTCATTTGAAGCGATAAAGAGAGTGCGACCAGGTGGGACCCACTTCTTGATCCTACACATAATGGCTTCAGGGCGGGTGTCCCTGTCGAGGTGGGGATGGAGGGTCCTCTCCACACCAAACCGATCCTTCCTGTTCTTTATCTTGTCACCCCTCCGGATATGCATGGCATCATAGTCCCCAAGACTCTCTTTGACCTGCAGTTGGTAAATTTTCTCACTCACTGTCATGAAAGAGGTGTAATGGTACTATCACATGAAAACTAAAAGCTCAAACTTGTCAAATAGAACATAGATTTTCATACGAGAAAACAATCTCTCTCTCTCTCTCTCTCTCTCTCTCTCTCTCATACACAAAAAAAAAGCTGTTAAGAGATAGGTCTTCTTTTTTGCTGGGGAAGGAAAGCATTCAGCTTTTTGGCCGATTTGTGGGGAAGTATGGGTGTATTTCTAAAACTAGAAAAAATCAGAAAATCACACTCAACAAGGCCTTTTTTTTAAGGAAAAAGTTTATATAAGGTTGCAACCTTAAAATGTAGAATTAAAGGTACACCTCAAAAATCCATCATAAAACGTTGTTTGGATGTTGGAAACCCTCTAATTGATCATCTCGACATCAAGATGTATGAATGTAAAAAGAAAAAAGGTTTCGGGTCTGCCAAATGGTATATCTTGCAACACATTATCTGGACCATCCATTTTCAAGATTTTCATGTATTTATAGATTTACTTGATTTGAACTATTTTTAGAGTTTAAAATTTTATAATCGGAGATGAAAATAGATTCTTAAGTCATCCTAAAAAGTTTTGATGTCAAAAGTACATTTATGATCAAATTTAGGGGCATGCCTTAAATTGGATTTTTAAGGTTGCGACCTTATGCAAACCACACCTTTTTTTTAAATATTACAAATGATATAGCGTGGAGCAAGTATACTATGCTCCTGCGGGATCATATTGTGCATCTACTCCCTTGCTCAGAACACCTATTTAGGATTATTTTTTTAGTTTATAACTTTGGGAACCATATAAGAATAACTAGATGATTATTTGAAAGGAAAAGATCTGGATTTTGAGTTTTGTCACACTTAGATCTAGCCCTTCAAAAATTGGACGGCCTCAATCTTGAGGCAGTAGATCTTTTCCTAGTACATAGGGAGTTAATTTCTGAACTTTTTTTTTTACTGATATTAGTATATATGTACTAGAGATTGCATCCCTTAAAATTTGAGATCTAAACAATATCCCTAGCATGTGTTTTGCCCGAGGGAGTAAATGGATAGTATACTCTTGTGGGGGTAGGAAATCCTTTAGGTATAGTGTAAGCTAGCAAAATTTTGAACTTACCAGGCAATTTCTGATATTCTGAATAAGTTGATATTTTTTAAATTATCGCTAACCTATTCAAAATATAGGGATTGGATATTTATTTGTCTTCAGTTAGAAGTAGACACGGCCAAAGCTAACAGACTCTGACAACATCAGTTAGGAGTATGGTTTTCTGGAGACCTCCTTCTCGTCAGCTTCAATCAGAAACATTTTGAAATTTGAGATGGTAAATTACATGTAGCTCTTCCACTGCATAGGCGGTATTTTAGCCCTTTTCAATAAGAACTAAAGTCACGAGAAATCTAATTTCATGTAATTGGTTAACATAGAATTTGGCCCTGCAACTGAGGGATTGAGGCAAACAGATCCAATCACTAGGCAAAAGGCCAAACCTATACCACTAACCGAGACATTATGTCATAACAAAAAGATAAATCCAATACATTTTACCAGATCAGCTGCAACTCTTAATCTTTTGGCAGCCATTGAAGGAAGGAATGAGTATGGCAACAGTACTGCACTATGATTTTTTCGGTCTTTGCATTCTACAAACCTGGACAGTTTTCATGAAAGAGAAAAACATAACTACAAACTACTAAATTACAATGAAATAATTGAATACGACAAAGTTTGAGTGAGAAAGATGCATTTTGAGGAGAGATAAATTTACCATGACAGGGGGCTCGCGGTACGGTTAATCAACAATTTATTGGCATAAAAGCCATTCTCTTTCAGCTCCATCCGACTAACTCCTTCCACATGGGCCACTCCCCTGTCCCCTAACTTCATACTGGTTGATAACACCTGATACCACTCTTTTGAATTGTCAAGAATGACAGGGACAGTTTTGGATATGAGTTCCATATCATACAAAGAGTCCATTGCACAAAAATTTGCTGCCCATCTACCATATAAATAAGAATAATTTCAGATCATGGAAAGTAAAGTTTTTCTTTTTGGGGAAGTTCATGGAAAAGTAAATTTTAGGCCCCAAATCTTTCAAAAGCATAGAAAAATGACAGGAAACTCACACACCAATGTCCAGGTGTTTGACATCTGAATGATAACAAGCCTATACTCCAGATATCAAAAAATTACAAAGCATTAAGTGTTACTTCTAACATCACAGCACGGTAATCTACAATGTATAAGCACCACGGAATATTTTGAACGGCAACTACTTTCTAGCACGGTTTTTGCAGGGTTTGATGCTCTTATAAAAGAAGCTTCTCCTATGATCTATCATTTTATGCATGTGATAGTTATCTTGTGTCTGGCTATTTAAATGCTTCTTTCACATAGTACCCTTTTTCCTTTTGGGCCTCAATTGGGAATGATTCAGAATGGCTCATGCTTCTCTCAATAGCTTCTTCTAGGTTAGAAATCAACATGTACATGTTGCCTCCATGGCACTTTTTGGCATAATGTGGTGGTTATTTTCCTCTTTTGATGTTATTTTCTATCTCAGATAATCTTTCCACTGCTACTTCCAACTGGAACAGGATTGAATACATATGTCACTCCCCAACGGTTCCACTTTTTATTAGAAGTATGTAAAATATACACCTCTCCCCTTTCACCGATAACCAAATGTCCACAATAAGCTTTAGGAACACAAAAATCTCCCGTTCCTTCATTGATATCAAAATTTCCAAAATGGCATATAGAAGTTAAATAATCCAGATTCAGATTAGTATTTTATGTCAGGAATTTTCTATTCCAGTTTTCTTTCCATAGTTTTATGCAGTTCATCCACCTTTAGTATGAGGGAGCCATTAATATCTTATAAATCTATCTGCATAGAACCATATCATTGAATTTCTAACATGGAGAAAATCAAGCCAGTGGAACGAACGAACCACTGGTACCATTTTAACCAATCGTATCATATGGAAGTGGCCCATGTGGAAGAGGAAGACATCATTTATGTCCAGTCGATATGCTTTGAGGGGAATAGAAAGAGGGAATGAGGGGATTTATAGGGGAAAGTGGCAGGGTATGGCTAACAGTGGAATGGAGAAAATGGACAATTCTCACACAGAACGCTCAAGGGATCAGAGACAATGACCTCCTAAGGAATCAGACGGTTGCCATTAAACCCCAGCCAGGAAGAAAACAATCACTTGGTTTTCACTAAATTATTCAAGCATCTAAAAGAAGCAAAAAACACCTCGACTACAATCTACCATTTCTTTTTTTTAGAAAACTTCCGTAAGCCATTATGATTTTACTGCTACTTTTATTTGCCAATTCATGACTCTGCAGCTAAATTTTAGAGAATCAGACATAATCTAGCATCGACAAAATCAAGCCCACCACTTTTCAACCAGTTCCACACAAATCAATCACATGCATTACTTTTTCTCAACTGTCTCAATCAAATGCAGTATTAATATCGAGCTCACTCCTTTAGTATAACAAATGACTAAATGAGCCAAAGGAGTTGGAGTAGACATACATTTCCTCCACATGAGAATCATTAGATTGATGGAGGATTCCCTTCTTATTGTGCACAGGGCTAATGCACATTCTGGATGGCATCACAAAGGTCCTGAGAATTGCAAAAATGAGAAAGATTGAATACAAAATAACTAAAAAAAAACATAACACCAAACCTCCAAAACTTTAATTTCAAAAAGCTTTCCAACAGGGAATTTCCAGAAAAACCCAACAACAAGAAACTAAACTATTTCTCAAGAAAAAAAAAGAAACTAGACTATTACGAACCAAAAGAAAAAAGAAAGACCCAATACCACATTGCATATGCACATACAACTGTAGACAAAAGGTTGGGATCATTTCACCTCATATTCACAGATTTGAAGATATAAACACTCTCCAAATGCAAAAGGTATTCAGAAGAAGAAAAACGCATTAGAAGAACGGATCACTAAACAAAATCTAACTATCTAAATTTACAAAGTTCACCACCACTGAATTCCGATTTAGCAATAACATTTCTGTACCATGAAAGCCTAGATCACAGAAAATTTACAGAAATGAGGGAAGCCATAAAAAATCTCAAATCAATGCAAATTCACCTCCATGCCCCAAGTGCCCCAAGTTCAATGGATCCAAATATTTTTTTCGTGGCAAGAACCCAAAAAAACAAATATATAAAAACCTTAGGACCAAATAATTAAAGAAAACAATAATGACCTTTTCTACTAATGGTTAATGATGGAATGGAAACCAAAAATGGTTGATACAATGATAATCATACGGCAAGCTAACCTTGTTACAACCCGGAAGGGCTAAACCCAGAAGGGCTAAGAGAGAGACAGAGAGAGTCACATCTACAAGAAAATTAATGATATAGAAAGCTTCAAAATAGACAAAAACAGACTTGCAAGTGTTCAGTAAAGTTCACTTGTTCACTTGCAATCGTAATATCAGGGTTCTCAGAAACCCATGAATCCTAAAACCTAGAAACACTTCAATAGCAAATTCAAACAGTTCATCAAAGAATTGGAAAGTTCCCATGGGAAATTGAGCTAACATGCAAAAAACAAAAATCCTCCAAATCTGATATTTCCATGATCCAGAATCACAGTTCCACAAATCTCAAATTCCATACATTTCAATGATCCAAAAGTTTAAAAAAAAAAAAAAAAAAAATACCAGTTCTAAACAAACGACATTCACTATCAAGCTTCAAATTCAACATAAAGTCACAAACATTTGAATGATAGACCCAATATACTCGCGCTGACAAGAGATCAGCTGAAACAAAATCACTAACACCAAAAAAAACCTACATTCTAGAAAGGCACATTACCTTCGAAGAACAATGGCCTCTTCAAGAGCGCATCTCAGACTTGATTCTTGGTGCCCTAATCCTTCACAGGAATCACAGTGCTTACCCGGACAATCAATCCTATTACCCCAGTACAGGTAAAACTTATCCCTCATTAATGGCTGCTTAATAAAAAAGAGATTTTGTAAGGTTTTAGGATTGGAAAAGGATGATAATCGTTCAGAGGAAAGTGGAGATGAGCTAATGTAGAAGAGGATGAACACAGTAGAGAGAGAGAGGGTTAAGATAAGGAGAGGATAATTGGATTTTTTGTTAGGGTTTCTGCGAAACGCCATGGGAGTTGCAGAGTGAAGAAATTGAGTAGAGAGAGAGAGAGAGAGAAGCATTTACTTTTGGGAAGAACTCCATTAAAATAATCGCGCCATTTTATCATTAAAGACCTTAATTTTGTTGTGAACTCCTTGTTCTATTGTGTACTCCTTGTTCTATTGTGATTTGCAAGAGCATAAGATGTAGGGACTACGATGTTACATTCTATCCAATGGGGTACTCGAGTGTTTTATGACCCATTTATTTTCAATATGAGATACCAACTTTGGTAGCAAAGTAGCGGACGTATAACCGGCCCATTTAATCGGAAAAAATGTAGCAGAACGGCGAATCAACATTCGTGTAGCTAACCTCAATTAATAGAAAAAGCTATCATAATCATTATTTATTTAAGTAAAAAATTGTTGAAACTTCGGATTGAATCGGATATGGGATGGTGTGGGTCCTAGCCCAATTCCTCCAAAAATTCTCCTTTCCTATTGGGTTTTTTAAGTCTATTTAAGATTTTTTTGGAATTGTATACTACGAGTCCATCCATGTTTAGTACAAGGTCAACGTTTTTTAGTCATTGGATGTGAACTTTAACACATTAAAATGTATTACAGCTTTTGAGATATTTTGTTTTGGGACTTTGTGCTCAATTAGTGACACATCACGACCTATCCGATTTCACATCCAGCGGTTGACAATGATTGTGACCTTTTTGTATTAAAATCCAATGGTCTCTTCATATACATTTTTTATTTTTTAGGTCCCATTAAATCCCAAACACATAAACTCTTATTTTAAATTTTTATTTTATTTAATCCTAAAATAATATTGTGTGTGTTATAGAAAATTTTTATTGGAAATTTTTTGGGTGAGTATAGAAAATGGAATATTTATTAAATAAAAAAGAATAGTATTGCATGAGCTTTTTACGTGTCTCTATGCACAAAGAATCCATGTGTTCAGAGATGTCTAATTGTTTGATCTTGATTGACCAACTAAGAATAAGTAAACAACCATGTCACACATTGATTATGACATGCAAACATAGCTGATGATGACTTATGCCATTGTCCTCGACTCACTCAGAGCATGTAGGTATATATATATATATGAAGATGCTAAGGTGAGCCCACTAACTCACAGAAATAGTACAAGCCCAATGGCCCAGATTGAATTCGGGCCGATCTGACGGCCATTGACCCAGATTGAATTTGAGCCGATCTGACTGCCGAGAGTATTTAAATTTTAATTTTTTTTCTATAAATTCAAATCACTTAAAATTTTTCGTAAATATTCTTCTCATCAAGCTGCACCTAATAAAAATACAAAAAAAACAATCCACAAAATTAAAAATGATCAAAATACCCCCAAAATTTTATGGGGGTATTTTGGTTATTGTTTTGCATGTAAAATATTTTTTTAATATTTTTTCGAATATTCACCAATTTTTTATCAACACACGTCAAAAATTTCAAGTGATTTTGATTTATAGAAAAAAAATTAAAATTCAAACACTATCGAGCATCCATGATTATTAGATTGACCCAGATTCAATATGGGCCATTGGGGTCATTTTTTCTTGTGAACCCATTAGCTCACAAAAGAATTT